TGCCATTGTCCCGAGGCTGATTTTCCGCACACATCTGAGTCGCTCCAGACGTGCCATCACACTTTAGATGATATCTTTTCTATGAGTTGGATACTTCAGACATGACTCAGCTGCTGTGTTTTTATTAGTGGCTCTGAAAGAGTGGGCTTTCATGAGATGTGTGCTGGATGGGATACAATGCACATTTTGTGCCGGCGTCCCTTTGTGGCTTTGGGTGGGAGTGGACGGAGAGCTCACTGCACCCTGGTGCTTTCTAACCCTTTCTGACTTTCTTAATCACTCTGTTTCTCTTCCAGAACATAGGGAGCTTCCATGCTGTGTCTGTCTACATAGGCAGCTGTATTCCAAGGCAGCATCCTCACTGAAATCAAGCCTTAGAAATTATTGATTTTGAATTGTTCACATTGGCAGCAACTTTGTGTTTCTTACAAATAGTACTTTTCAAATAGTACACATTTTTTGTTTGAAAGAAAAACTTTTTTCAGCAAAGACAAAAGATTTATCTTTCAAATAAATGCTGTTCTTTTGAATTTCTTTTCATAAAGAATCCTGAAAAACAGTATCACGGTTTCTCCAATATTAGGCAGCACAACTGTTTTCAACATTGATAATCAGAAGAAAATAAATATTTTGTGAGCAGCAAATCTGCATATCTGAATGATTTCTGAAGGATCCCGAGACACTGAATACACTAACATTTTGAACTGTATTAATATATTTCACAATATTACTGTTTTACTGTATATATATATATATATATATATATATATATATATACACACACACATACAGTGGTGGAGCTCCTCTGGAGGGAATTTGGCCAGGCGGAAGTGGATCTATTTGTGTCGCAGGAAACGACACACTGCCCGCGCTGGTTCTCCCTCACGCATCCAGCTCCAGTGGGGCTGGATGCCATGGTACAGAAGTGGCCGAGGCTTTGTCTGTATGCTTTTCCCCTGATCGCTCTGCTCCCGGGAGTTCGAGAGAGATTACACCGGGATGGAGTCCGTCTGTTGCTAGTAGCCCCGCTCTGGCCGGCCCGAGTATGGTGCTTGGACCTGGTGTCCCTCCTTGACGGCTCTCCGCTGGAGATTCCGATCAGGAGGGACCTCCTCTCTCAGGCGGGGGGCACCATTCTTCACCCC